TGCTGCAGCAGCAGAACTGGTACTGCTGCTCCTGCTGCTGCTGCTGCTGCTGTTGTTGCTGTTGCTGTTGCTGCTGCTGTTGCTGCTGCTGCTGCTGCTGCCCGTCGAAGCTGCTGCTGCCCGGCGACGGCTGCAGCCCCTCGGTGCCACTTGCAGGAGCAGCGGGTCACAGTAAATAAAGTGCGAGGGGCGCGAGGCCCCCCCGGGCTCTGCTGCTGCTGCCAGGCCCGGGGCCTCCCACAGCAGTTCAAAGAACTCCAGCGATGGCTGCTGCTGCTGCTGCTGTTGCTGTTGCTGCTGCTGCTGTTGTTGCTGCTGTTGGTGGTGGTGGTGGTGCTGCTGTGGCTGCTGTTGGTGTTGTTGCTGCTGCTGTTTTTGCTGCTGTTTCTGTTGCTGCTGTTCTTGCTGTTGTTGCTGTTGCTTTTGTTGTCGCTGCTGTTGCTGCTGCAGTTGCTGCTGTTGTTGTTTCCTCTGTTGCTGCTCTTGCTGCTGCTGGTGTATCTGTCTATGGGGCGGGCTTGCTGCAGCAGCAGCTGCAGTGTTGTTGCTGCTGCGATACACTAGGGGCCTCGGGGGCTGCAGCAGGCCCCGCAGCAGGCGCTGCACGCGGGGGTGTTTGTCTCTGTGGCCGTAGAAGAGAGCGCAGAGGAGCCCCGATAGGTTGGAGCCTTGCGGTATCCCCTGTAGCTGTCTATACACCCCAGGTGGTGCTGGGATAGCTAGCGTTTGCTGCTGCTTGCTGTTGCTGCAGCGCGGCAGCATCACCCAGTGCATGCGCAGCAGCAGCAGCAGAGCCAGACGCACGTCCTCTGCTGTCACTCGGGTGTCTGTACACTGCGGAGATACAAACGCACAGCCCCCCGAGGAGGCCCCCCGCAGCAGCCACCGCCGCACCCACAACGCTGTGCCTGGGGTGTACGTACACCCCAGCCCCTTCCTCTTTACTTCTTTTCTCTTTTCCTTAGATTCACCAGCCACAGACTCACACTCACGAAGACAGCCTAGCATCCCCTCACCACCAGCACTTGTGCTGTGGCTGCACGCAGTAGCTGCTCCTACGGGCGCTGCTGCTGCTGCTGCTGCTACTGACGCTGCTGTTGTTGTTACAGCTGCTACTGGTGCTCCTGCTGCTGCTCCTACTACTACTGGCGCAGCAGCAGCAGCAGCAGCAGCAGCAGCAGCAGCAGCAGCAGCAGCAGTTCCTGCTGCTGCTGCTGCTGGTGCTTGAGTGGGTGCTGCTTGCCTATTGGGCTGTCTCCGCAGGAGGAGAGAGAGCAGCGGGAGACGGCCCCCAGGCCTCGCCGGCACAGCAAACTCATCGAGCACACCGAAAGAAGAAACCCCTATACGCTCTGTTAGACTAGGTGCAGCAGCACAACCACCACGATATACACCTCCTGCTGCTGTTGCTGCTGCTGCTGCTGGGGCTGCTGGGGCTGCTGGAGTGGCTGCTGCTGCTTTCGGTCGGGCTGCTGCTACTCGTGATGCTGCTGTTGCTGCTGTTGCTGCTGGCGAGGCAGTTGGTACGGCTACTCCTGTTGCTGGCACAGCAGCAGCAGCAGCAGCAGCATCAGCAGCTGCTGCTGCTGCTGCTGCTGCTGCTGCTGTAGGTGTGAGTGTCGGCTTCGGGGGCACCGAGTAGAGCGCGCCTGGAGTGGTGATGCGTCTGTACACCTGCAGGCGGTGGGTGAAGGGTGGCAGCTGCAGCAGCAGCACGAGTTGCTGCAGGTCTTGGTGAGGGATACAGTCGAAGCAGCGGCTCATATCCCCAACAACATATTGCATGCGGTGTATATACACCCGAAGAACCCCGAAGCGGGGCCCTTGCTGCTGCAGCAAACGACGCAGCTGCGCTAGGCGATGCTGGTACCGCCGCCACCACGCAACCAGGTGTACGTACACCTGAGCATTCGACATCACTGAGCAGCCAACTGCTGCAGGATAAAAACGGCAAACTGCTGATATATGTTGGCTAATAGGGCGCAGCACAGAATTCACAGAAAGATTGTTGCAGCGGGAACGCTGTCTGCTGCTGCTGCTGCTGCTGCTGTTGCTGCTGCTGCTGCTGTCTTCTTTCTGCAGCAAACGACGCAAATATTGCTCATACGATGACACAGCTGGTGCGTGCAATGCGGTTGGCCTGCTGCTGTTGCTGTTGCTGCTGCTGCTGCTGCTGCTCGATCCAGCTGCGACTGTTGCTGCTCCTCGCAAGCCTGCTGCTGCTGCTGCTGAAGGCGCGGGCAACTGCCGCCCTTGGAGAGACAGCAACGCTCCAGCGCTCCTCGAGCCAGAGCTGTTCCCTTGCTGCTGCTGCTGCTGCTGCTGCTGCTGCTGCTTCTGCTGCTGTTGGCTAGCAGCTAGCTGCTGCTGCGCCTGCAGCAGCAACCGCGCCAGAGTAGCGCCGCTGGGGCCCCTGGATAGGTTGACGAGGGGGCGGCAGCCGCGAAGCTTCGGAAGGAAGCGTACGCGGGGGACAGATGAAGCAGCAATGGAGACTGGGTTTGCTGCTGCTGCTGCTGCTGCTGCTGTTGCTGCTGCTGCTGTTGTTGCTTCTCCTGTTGGTGCTGCTGCTGCTCCTGTTGCTGCATCGCGGCTTGCAACTGCTGCAGAGACAGCCGAGACGAGGGCATCTGCGTCAAAAGGCCCAATCATATGTCTCTTGCTGCTGTTGTTGTAGCTGCTGCTGCTGCTGCTGCTGCTGCTGTTTCTGCTGCTGTCGCTAACGCAGCAGCTGTGGCAGCTCTGTCTACTAATGCTGCTGCGGATGCTGCTGCAGCCGCTGCCGGTTAGCACCTCTTGCTGCTCGCTGTTGCCCATAGAGGCGGCTGCTGCAGCAGCACGAAGTCTCTTCGTTGTTGTATCGTCCCTTTCAGCAGCAGCAGCAGCAGCAGCAGCAGCAGCTAGCTGCCGTTTTCGGGAGATCCTGAGGGTTTCCATCAGTTCCGTCTCACCCCGTTCTGCTGCAACTAGTGCTGCTGTTTCTCCTGCTGCTGCTGCTGCTGCGGCTGCAGCAGAGCCGTCAGCAGCGCGCAGCTGAAAGCAATCTGTATACAGACGAGCTGCAGCAGCAGACTCAACG